TGTATTCCTAGCAAGCAGGAGTAAATTCTGTACTTTGAAGTTGAAGAATAAGCAGTAGAAAAAGGAACAAAATCAGTGCAGTAAAAGAGCAAGTAGGGCCAGATGTTGACCTGAAACTTGGTTGAGAATAATGGTGATGTGGTACTCAGTCAAAAGGGACTGGAGAACCAAATAATCATATCTAACCAGCTATTTCATTGTTAAAGAAATGTCAGAAAAGGACAGATATCACATAATGCCACTGTTGCAGAACGGGACTGACATGAGGGTTGGGCTGAGACTGAGAAAGATGGGATAAATCATGTATATTGCATTGAGACAGATGAGAAAGAGAACTGTTTAAAAGCGATACACGATTGCGTATTAAGGTCATGACAAGAGTCCAGAATGAAGGCTACATAGTGGAGTGGACTGGGGAGAATTTTTCCTTTACTTTTCAAAGAAAAGAGCAAACTAGGGGGAGGGGTTTGCAGGGAGAAAAATGCAACAATTAATGAATGGAAATCCAAAGTCTTTGTAAACGTTCATTAAAATTAAGAATAATGAAAAAATAAAAATAATTTAAAAAAGACATGTCAGACATTTCTTTAAAGCTCTTTGAGAATAATTTTTTAAATGTCCACTCTGAAACGAAGTGCTAAGTGAAGGTAAAAGGATCACCCAGAAGGAAACAAACTATGATGAATGCCTGCTTTGTATATCCTGTTGTGGCACTAGAGATATTATCGTCAGTGTCAGATGGATCTTGGCAGAAAGCAAAAAGTACCTGAGGAATGTCTATCTGTGTTTCACTGACTATGCAAAGGCATTTGTGTGGATTATGGTAAAGAGGGGCTGATCTTGAGGAGAATGGGAATCCCAGAACACTTGATTGTACTTATATAAAACCTATGCTAGGACCAGGAAGCAGTTCTCAGAACAGAGCAAGGAAACATTGCTAGGTTCAAAATGGGGGAGGAGTGCATCAGGAATGCATTCTGTCTCCACCATACCATTTCAATCTATATGCAGAACAGATCATGCGGGAAGCAGGGTTCTGTGAAGAGAAGTGTGGCATCAGAATTTGAAGAAGACTCATTAACAACCTACATTATGCAGGTGACACAACTTTGCTTGCTGAAACTGAAGATGATATGAAGCGCTTGCCTGCAGAAGATCAAGGACTGTAGTCTTTAATATCAGTTGAAACTCAAAGTCAAGAAGACAGTGATTCTCACTCCCGGGCCACTTGCCAGCACCATGATAGCTGGAGAAGAGATTGAGGTTGTTAACAATTACAGCTTGCTCAGCTCCACAATCAACACTTCTTAGCAGAAGTGGTCAGGAAATCAGAAGACGAATTGCATTAGGTAAATCTCCTGTCCGGGACCTCTCCAGAGTGCTGAAAACCAGTATTATCTGTCTGGAGATTAAAGTGTTCCTAATCCAGGCCATGGTCCTTGCAGTTATTTGCTATGCATCAGAGAGCTGGACAATGACTAAGGATGACAGAAGAAGAATTAATACCTTCATGTTGTAGTGCTGGAGAAGAGTCTTGAACATACCATGGACCGCGAAGAGAACAAATAGATCTGCCTTAGAGAGGGTGCAGCCAAGTTTCCCCTTGGAGGCTAGGATTTTGAAGCTCTATATCACATATTTTGGGCATGTGGCCAGAAGAGATCAGTCCTTGGAGAAGGACATTGTGCTTTTAAGGGTGGGCAGACAGTGCAGGATAGGGAGATCCTGGATGAGATGGATTGATAACTAACTGGGGCAATGGGGGTTGGTGTGTCAGAGTTAGTGAGACTGACTCAGGACAGGGCAGGGTTCAGAGGTGCTGTACTTAGGATCTCTATGGGTCGCAGGCAAATCAACTGCACATAACAACAAAAAGTCCTCAATGACTTTTCCTTAACCTTTCCTGTTTGTTAGGTACAAAATGTAGTGGTTAATAGTTAATATCTCAAAGTTTGCTATGATAATACAGATTTTTCTGTGTGAGAAATTTTGAACTCTATTTCCTTTGGTCCTGTGTGCCACATGTGACTGTTTAGATGTGAGTGTAATAAATTCGGGTTCTTGGATTAGACAGTATAGATAGAGAATTTTTCAGTGTCACAGATAGTTCCATTGAATGGTACTTATCTAGACACCAGCATTTTTCATATTCATGGGAAAAATTGGCTAATTTTGTCCTACATAAGTATTCATTCTCAAAAAGAACATTTAAAGGTCTATCCTGAAGTACAGCACTATAATTGATAGAGTAATAACCATATACCTGTGAGGAAGAACAAGTAATAAGGCTATTTCTCACATTTAGTCGCCAACCACAAATGCTAAGGATGAAGAAATTGAAGCTTTTGGCCAACTTCAGCAGTCTAAAATGGAGAAAACATAGAATCAAGAGTCATTGACAGTTACAGTGATTCGAATGTTAAAGGTTAGAAACAAAAGAAGGCTCAGACTTGGAAGCTGAGTCCTTGGTGATAGAGGTGATAGCTGAGATCATATAATGGATTTTTTTCAAGACCAGTGATATTGTCATTGGGAATACTTTTTATTTTCAACACCATGAATAGTGATTATACAAGGAGCTTGGCAGGTGGAAAGAAGGGAATCAGATTGCCTGCATCTATAGGAAGAGATGATGGAGAAATTCAAAACAAGGCTAGCGGCTGATCATAGACCATTTCTATTACTAGTTACTATGCAACTTCAAATTGAGGCTGAAAAGAACAAAAACAAGCCTGTGAGAGCCCAAGTGTGACCTTTGAATACATCCTACTTAATTAGAGAACATCTCAGGAATAGATTTTACTCACTGAACATTTAACCAAAGAGAAGACAAATTGTGGGATGACATCACACATTTGAGAAAGCAAAAGTCATGAAAAACTAAAGAAAGAAAATAGATGTCCAAAGAGAAGGAAATTTGCCCTAGAATGTAGAGTAACTAAAGCAAATGGAAGAAATTATGAAAAGAACAGAACAGAAAATTTCCAAGGGCAGTTCAAAGTAAAGTATTACAGTGAAATGAGCAGAAACTTGGGAGTTAGAAAATCAGGAGAGAAGGGCCTTTTGTTCATAGGGTTGCTATGAGTCGTGTTCAACCTGAAGGCAGTCAACAACAACAAAGCTGATAGAACTCAAAAGAAAAATCCAAGCTTTGAACTAGAACTTCTAAACGTTCTGTGGGCAAAATCTTGAATGATAGCAGAAGTGTCAAATTAATGTGGAAGGTATGGACTAATATCCAACCATTTCAGGAGAGGTAGCATGTGATCAAACTCCTATTATATTGAAGGAAGGAGTTCAAGTTACACTGAAGGCATTGGGGGAAAACAGAGCTCCAGAAGTTGTTGGAGTACCAAGTGAGATGTTTCGGTAAACATAATGCACCACCGTTTATGTTCATTTATCTGTCCCAAGATGGTGTTCAACAGAGTACAAGAGAGAGAAAAATTCTAATATCACGTGCAAATGACATCTTGCTAAAGATTCAGAAAATGACTAGAGCAACAAATTGTCAGAGAACTGCCAGAAACTTAAGTTTCCTTTCAAAGATGATGTACAACAGAGGAGATCATTGCTGGTATCAGATGATGCTTGGGTGAAAGTGGACAATACCAGAAAGATGTTTCCCTGTGTTTTACTATGTCATAAGAAATTGTATGTATCATTGCAAAAATGCGAATTACAAGCCACTTAATTTTGTTCATGTTGAATCTCTGTCTAATTATATGACGCTTTTCAGATTAGCAGCAGTGACTGGGTACCATATAGTTTTTCCGCTCTCGAGGTTGTGGAGCCTAGTGTTTACATGATCCTTTAAACTAATTGTTTCCTAGTTTTGCTTCTATCAGTTCCTCTTTCATGGATATGCTGGTTCGTGTGGGGTCCCTCCCCCCTTTTTGTCTTTGCTCAATCTCTAGTACTCTTTATTCCCCTCTCTTCTTTTTATTTTGTCTTAAGGGTCTTGAAAAATGGTTAGTGACATAAAAAGAAAACAAATTCCCTGTTTCCTCTTGACTGTACAGTAGTATACACAGTGCATCCACGCAGAATCCAAGCACACTGCAATCATGTTACTTCCAACATGCTTGACCCTGTAGACATAGTAGAGAGGCCTTATCGAGTTCCCACACTGTCATTCTTTATGGTGCAGATTACCACATCTTTTTATCCTGCAAAGTGGCTGATGGGTTCAAACCACTAACTTTTGAGTTAGCACCTCAGTTCTTATCCACTGTGCCATCATGCCTCCTTGGTATGATGTACAGCAGGAAATCATTGCTGTCACAATGAGATTAGACTCCTAACAATTTAAGTAAATATGGAACTTGTTACCAGTATGTATATAAGAGGAAGCCTGTTTACCAGTAGGTATAAAAGAGGAAACCTTTTGTACAGGTATCCCTTGCTTTTTAAAAGTTTGCTTTAGTTTGCTTTATGCCACTTAGCTTTTACAAAAGACCTACAGTAGTGTCTGTTTTCAATTGAAAGAAATCTGGAGAGTATTTTTACTTTTACAGAAAGTGGAGAGGAAACTGAAGACAGTGTTCAGTGATTGTTTTATATTGAGCCACTCAGGAGAGACTTACCTTTCTCCCCCACCCCATCTAAATACAGCATCTTATTAAAACACTGTAGCTTTTGAATAGTATCTGGGAACACTACATTTTAGATTTTAATCTGTTCTTTGATGTAATTTGGGTAAGTTATTATTTTATTTTGGCCCACTAAAATAAATACTTTCCCATATAAACTAACTGAACGTAACTAAGCATTACTTCTTCACTTGATACTGCTTCTGCTTTTGAAATGTTTACTAGGTATACTGTACTCTGAGATAGTGGGGAGATTTGCATTTTGAGGCAGAGGGTCAACATGGAAATAACGAACCAGTAGGCATGGGAGCCGTGGATTTCATCATTTTCCACCTGTAACTGTCAGCAGTCTCTCATGAGAATCATAACAAGAAGGCATCTGGTAATGATACATCTTTCTTTATGTAGCAACAAAGGAGAGAGCGTGAAGCTAGAAGGCAGCAAGAACGTGAACAGCGAAGGAGAGAACAAGAGGAGAAGAGGCGTCTAGAGGAACTGGAGAGAAGGCGTAAAGAAGAGGAAGAGAGGAGACGAGCAGAAGAAGAAAAGAGGAGAGTTGAAAGGGAACAGGTTAGTTCACAAACGAGGCTGCAGCCTATCCTGATAAGCTACATTGAGAAAAGCACACACATACACACAGGCATATTTGTTTAGGACTTTAGAGGTTTAAAAATGCTGCAGTGCATTTGGAAATTTATCAGTTAAGTGGATACTGTGTCCTAAAAAGCTTCTAAGTCATTATATTTTATAAGCCCTTTGAAACCTCAAGTCATCTCCACATGGTATGATACTAAAAGATACCTAGAGCATGGCTTAAATATTGTGAACTCCAAGAGTAATTTACTGTTACCAACTCTTAAGGACTTTCTTAGAAAGAAAGGTTAAAATATTTCTATATGTATTTCAATACACCTATATATGTGTGTGTATGTGTACATATTATATATAGTAGTAGTGTTCTTCATCTAGTCAAAACCAAGTAATAGCTGACCCTCCAGTGGATTTTCAGAGACTGTAAATCACATGAGAGGAGTTTGCCTTTCTTTCTTCTGTAGAGTTGCTGATGGATTCGAACCACTTGTGTTTGGGTTGGCACCACAGTTCCTTACTGCTAGACCTCCCTTATACAGCATTAGAAAATCTAATATTGTGATATTATGATGAGCCTAGAAGCCAAATTTTAATATATTTATAATGTTTTATTAGTGGTTCAAAGTTTTATTTAGAATTTTTTCCCCCTGAACTTTCTGTACAAAGGCAAAAAAACCGAGGCCTCCATTTGTATATAATAGTATAAATCCAATCACCAAGCTCTTCACTTTTTTATGTCCTTTGTCATGAACATTGAAGTTAAAAAAGAATATGTATGAATAGGGACTCATTTAAAGTATATTTGAAACTAATATTTAAAAATTTAAAAACCAGGAGTTTGATTCTGATGCTATAATAATAAGGGCTTGAGAATAATTTTTCTAGTTGTATGAATTTTTTTGTTAGGTGAAGGCAGAAAACAAATGAGAGTTCTGTTTCAAGTTATGATTTCCTTCTCCTTAGTGCAAAGAAGAACTGAGCATGGACTCTTGATTCCTTCTTAGAATAATGCATTTTTTATTAATGCAAATCATACTTAAGGCTGTTGTTAGGGCAGCTGTTTGTATAGCATCTCTCGAAAGTGGGAGATGGAAGGCTTACCCATTCAGTGCCATCCAGTGAGAACAGCTCATAGCTGCCCTTACAGTGGATTTTCTGACTGTAAATTATGCTAGAGGAGAGTTTCCATCTTTATCCTGAGCAGCCAGTGGTTTATTTGAATCCCCAGAGAAACACCACCTTTGTATTAGCTGCCCGGCCCCTTACAGACTCTGCCCCAGGGCTTGCTGAAGGCTCCCTAGGAGATGAAAGAAACTGTTACTCGATGGGACAGATTGTAATAATCTGAGTCACCTGATTTCCTAGTAGACAGAATATGCAGATAGCTTTCCATTATTTTGGAAGTACTTATAAGCTTTCATTGTGATGAAGTTGATGGTCCTCTTTTCATTGAAAACAACCACCACAGTATCCTCCCAAATATACACTGCCACATCCTGAAGACTTGGGGCCTACCCGCTCATTTGTGAGGCTTCCAAGTTTGATGTTGCCAGAAAGTAGCTTTTAGAATGTTGTCATACCAGGTATCTTCTGAATCAAAGAATAGAAGTCATGTTTATTTTTATTTTACTAGTATATATGTATGTGTGTGTGTTGTTGTTGTTGTTGTTGTTGTTGTTGTTGGGTACCATCGAGTTAGAACTGACCCATAGCTGACCCTCTAGCGGGTTTTCAGAGGCAGTTAATCACACAGGAGGAGATTGCCCAACCTTACCCTGTGGAGCAGCTGGTGGTTAGGTTTAGATTTTAAAATTTAGTTAACTGTGTTTAGTATAAATAGTAACTAGCAATTAGATGTTTGTTAATCAGATCCCTCTCTAATTAACAGTTAAAGTAGATTTCTCTTATATCCACTATTTACTCTTCCTTTAAAATCCACCTGTGTTCTAATAGAAATAATTTCAAATCCTTTATGTATATCGTTGAAGTGTATGTCTTCATTTAGTACTCTTCAGGTCTTACAGGCCAATTTGAAAGTCTTAGGAAAAATCCTTAGCAGTAGGTGTTTTTCCCTTCAAATCTTCATCACTAATGATTAAAGGCTAAGTACACTTGAGGCACATTTTGTACTTGGGGTTCCACTCAGGTGGTCCTTATGATTTCCTATTGGCTCAATTGATTTCTGGGTCGTTTCTGTGTGACAGGAGTATATCAGGCGTCAGCTGGAAGAGGAGCAGCGGCACTTGGAAATCCTTCAGCAGCAGCTGCTCCAGGAGCAGGCCATGCTACTGGTAACGCACCGCATCTGTCTTGTTTTCTTGTGTTAGCACCATGTGTGTCCGTCCCCACTCCCCCAAGTTGGACTGAGTAGTGGTCATCATCAGGCCATTTTGTTTGGTGATGTGGGCTCATAGCCTTGGATGGGTTATACTCCTTTGAGCAACTCAAGGGGTCATTTTTAATTGGGTGTGGGTCCCCCCCCATTAATGAATAATTGCTTACTTGATAGCTAGACAGAGGGTTTTTTTTATGTTGCCACTCTGAGAACAAGTTAGGATGCTAGGAGCTAAGATTCATTCAAGACACATGCCAAAAGCTAATTGGGTATACCAGTGGAGGATTTATTACCTAGTGTACTTTATGTATCTCTTGCCACTGAAAACAACATTTAATTGAATTCTCTTTTACCCTGTTCATTGATTATTATCCTTAGCAACACGCTGTCAGATTTTTCCACAGGTAATATGGTTTTCAAAGTCCCAGCCATTTTGCTTTATTAAAAAGCAAGGAGGGGTGGGAATATAACTTAAATAAATAAACGAACGAACAAAGTAATATGAGGACAAATAACAGAAGGCGGCGAGCTCTCCAGTGTCCCATAGATTTAGTGTTCTCCTCTCCCTCTCAAAGGAGTATCGATGGCGGGAGATGGAGGAGCACCGGCAGGCAGAGAGGCTCCAGAGGCAGTTGCAACAAGAACAAGCATATCTCCTGTCTCTACAGCATGACCACAGGAGGCCGCACCCGCAGCTGCCGCAGCCGCACGCCCTGACGCAGCCGCAGCCACCCCCGCAGCAGCAGGAGAGAAGCAAGCCCAGCTACCACGCACCCGAGCCCAAGCCCCATTACGAGCCCTCCGACAGAGCTCGAGAGGTAGCTGCCTTCCCCAGCCGCTTAGACTGCCATCCTGGGCCGGTTCTTCCCTGCAAAATGATAGTGTGACTCTTAGGAGAGGGATCCCGTCATTCTAGAGTGGGCTGTAGGGAGAGCTCCGCTGTCGGTCGGCTGGGATGTGAAAAGGCTCCTTTATGTGAGTGAGGTCTCGTGTCTAGGTAGGGTTTTGCCTATAAAAGGATCACCGTGGCTCAACCAGTCCCCGAGGAGTTTGAAACCAAGCCAGAGAACATTGGACAAAAATCACTCTTGGACATTATTTATTAAAGGAATGATCAACTGGATTTTAGTTAACACAGTTGAGGAGGATGGTATGGGCCTATAGCCCAGTGCACTGACTTCCCTACTATCATGACTACTCCTGTCATTTACATGGTGTGTCAGGCCTCCTCAGAATAACAGGGATATGGCGGAGCAGCTACTGCTCAGAAATACTAGGCAAATCCAAATAAACAAAAATATGAGGCCATTGTTGTTCGCTCAGCTCCCATGCCCAACAGTGCAGAGCTGCATCAAAGGGTTTCTTTGTGGGAACACATCCTTCTCCCAGAGTGGGTTTCAGTTGATGATAATTGGGTGCTTAGCCACTGCGCCACCAGGGCTTCGTACTAGGAAGAGTAAAACCTCAAAAACCTCACAACTGACTCATGGCTGACCCTCCATTATTTCCCAGGCTGTAAATCCTGTGGGGGGAGATTGCCCCCTCTTTCCCTGTGGGACCTGTGGACCACTGGAGAGGCTCAGCTCCCTCTGCTCTGTGCTTCTCAGGCTCCTCCACTTAAGACGAGAAGAGAGCAGATTCTGTTTGAGAACATATTGAGTCCTGGCCTGTAGGTGGCATCCTTTCACTGTGTCTAGCCCTCAGGGAATGAATTCTAGGAAAAAGTATTTTACTTGCTCTGCAATGATTTTTGGTACAATGAAATGTGTTGGATTTCTGATGGTAATCTCTCAATCTGTTGGTTCAGTCGAGTGTGACAGATTCATTTTCTTCCATTATATATACAATTGTATGTAATCACTGTCGAGCTAGGAGGAGATCTTAGAGGCTGTCTGTTTGGTTTTTATCTTTTCCAGTATTTTCTTTTTCCTGAATCAAATTGTTGTCCTGCTTTATCTGCCTCTAACCTCTCCCCCTGCCATCCTTTTCTTATAACTGAAGTTAAACAGAACAAAATTCCTCTTTTAAGTCCTTCCACTTCCAGACTTTGGTTTCTCTGCTTTTCCCCTACTAACAGTGAGTTATGTCTTCTAATTCTCTGATGCAGGTGGAAGATAGATTTAGGAAAACTAACCACAGCTCCCCTGAAGCCCAGTCTAAGCAGACAGGCAGAGTTTTGGAGCCACCAGTGCCTTCCAGATCAGAATCTTTTTCCAATGGCAACTCCGAGTCTGTACATCCTGCCCTGCAGAGACCAGCGGAGCCACAGGTAGCACCAGACAGTTCTGCTGTGGGTTAAGGAGAATTACGTGCAGCTCACCAGGCCGTGGACCTGCTTTGAAAGAGATTAGCTATAATCATTTCAGCCTCACTTAAAAAGGGGTGGAGAAAATAAAGTCTTTAGGGGTAAAAGAAATCCCACAAAGTTGGGGTTTTCTTGGTGGTGGGTTTTTTTGTTGTTGTTGTTGCTATTCTTTTCATTAAGAATATCTAGATTCTGTAGGCTTTTTTCCTCCAGTGTAAAATTTGTTGCCCAAATCAGATTGATTTTGTTAAATTGAAAAAAAAAACCAAACCCACAGCAAAAACTTTAATAAATACAAACTACATAAAAAACCTTTTTTTTCAACAGCCAAAAAAAAAACAAACCCACCCAAAAAACCCCCCCTTTTTTAAAAAAACTTCAATTTTAGGAAATATTATCAGTAAATGGTGAGAACCAGGTTTTGTATTTTAACAGGCTGTTTCTCCCACTCATTTTAAAGCAGAGTCATTCGCTTTGGCCGCCTGGCTTGTCCCCTGGCCAATTCCTTGAGTGTACTTCAGATTGCCTATAACTCCCCTAAAATCTTAAGCAGATTTTCCTGTTTGTCCAAATGTACACATTTGGACAATACAATTTTTAGAGTTAAAAGAGCTTTTTAGATTCGTAATAGGTTAAGATCTCAAAAAAGTTAACATCTGGTGTGTTAAGATTAGCTTATCATGATGAAATAAGATCGGGGTAAGGGCCATGGCACGTAGTGAGTCTGCGGCAGCATCCTGTATTGTCTCAGTGAAGGAGAGCTGTCAGGTGATAGGTTACATGATTAGAAGAAAACCCTCTGTTATGTGGAGAAGAAAGAAGACAACAACGAACATTATTGTTGTTAAGTGTAGTAGACGACTCATAGCCATAAACTTCTTAGAGATCTAGAAAGCATCAGTTCCTGCTCTCTTGAAAATAGTTAATTTTCAGACAACCTTTTCCTTTGCAGCTGTATCATCTAGAATATTAGGCATTCGTTCTCCACCTTGAATCATTTGTCACTGGTATTTGCGTATGCTATGGAACGAAGTTCATACTTCTGTAATAGAAGTTGCTGTAATGTCTGAGAAATTCAGATGAGAATTTGAAGGTGCTTTATAATAATGCTCCTGGTCTTAGAAAGGCATGAACCTGGGCCTAACAATGTAGAGGAGTTAAGAACCCATATTGAAGAAGGGGTTTGTAATGCCAATTCTTTTTTAAATGGGAACAAAAGCTTTTTTAGTCCAGAGCAGGGCTAGTTCGTCAGTAAACCAGGCAGCTCTACAGAGTAAAGAATGGAAGAAAAGCAAGAGGAAGTAAGAAAGACAGAGAAGGGAGAAGGTATGAGATAAATGGATTTAACTTGTTCTGTGGCACCTTGGTGCTCTTTCCCCGTCTAGACATGGATGAAGAGTCCAGCTGAAGTGAACCTTAAAATAAATGGAAGGTCTTTGTCTTTCTGACCACTAACAATTAGAAAGTAGAAGTTCTTGGATTTTATAATCAAAACTACTTAATAGAAATGATCTCACTTTTCTTCCTTCTATTCCAAAGTTGCTTTTGACAAAAATGATAATCATGGATATATTTTAAATGACTTCCTTTTCTCTCTGAAAGATAGTAAACATTTTAGAAGCCTAAAATCTTTTGAGTCTCCCCTGTGAAATATAGAACCCATCAACTCTGTAAATAGCTCTGAATCTTGGATTTAGAAAAATCGACCCAGTTGTAATTTGATAATTTTGTTTTCATTAAATACATTGATCTATTAGATAAGTAGCTAGAATTATATAAATGTATATATTATATACTAATTTAGAAATTATTTTCTCATGTTTAAAGCATTAATATAGACTTAATATGACAGACAGCTGTCATATTTCTTAAGTTGTCAAGTAAGTGGGAGGACCCTTGCAGCCATCATGTACGGGAATCCAGGGTATTTATTATTTCTTTTTAAAAATGAAGGAAAAAAGCACAAAACAAAACACATTTCTTTCTTTTTAAAAAGAATTACTATTTAAATGTATGGAAATAAAGATATTTTTAAGGTTTGGGAGAGGGAAGGAAATGTATTGGTGTATTTGAAAATGAAGATGTCTCTAAGTTGCTTTTACAGTCTGTCAAAATGCTAGGTATCTGTTTCGCTTGTTAAATGTTCTCTTGTTAAATTGGTCTGAAATCTTTAAACTGCCAGGTAATGTGAAGATGGATGAATGGATAGTTGCACGTTTGACATTGTCCTTCACCTTGTGTTTCCTTTGCCTCTTCCTGTCTCTCTGCTTTGATGTGTAGATGTGCATGTTACACGCCGTCTACCCTTTAGCACAGTAGGTCTGTTTGGCTATTTTTAAGCAATCTCCATGTTTACTGCTCCCTGTTTATATCTGTCTAAATATTAAAGAGTACATTACAGTACATGTCCATTTGTTCTTTCGCCATCCTGTGCTCCCCAGCCACTCCCCAGTTCTTCACTTAGACATGTGACTGTTTAACTGCTTGGCTTACCTAGTACTGTTTCACCCTAGTTTGCATTTTCCCTTTGCTAGTTCCTGCTTTGGATTTGGTGTTGACCAGAAAGCCAGTTTTATGCCTTGAATGTTTTGTGTTTTGTTTTCTTGTAAGGTACAGTGGTCCCACCTGGCATCTCTCAAGAACAATGTTTCCCCTGTCTCGAGATCCCATTCCTTCAGTGACCCTTCTCCTCCCAAATTTGCACACCACCATCTTCGCTCTCAGGACCCATGTCCACCTTCACGCAGTGAGGTGCTCAGTCAGAGTTCTGACTCTAAGTCGGAAGTACCTGACCCCACCCAAAAGGCTTGGTCTAGATCAGACAGTGACGAGGTGCCTCCAAGGGTAAGAAGCAGAAAGACAGACGTGGGCTGCTTTTTCCTTTATTATTTTTTTTTAAAAAAATGAAAGTTTGTGTTTTCATTAAGGCTGTGATGACTTCACCAGAATTAAAGGGGCAGTGACATTTCAAAGGAACTTTTTACGGTGGGGGAAAGATTTCCATAGTTAGACAGTTCGAGTCAGCCTGTGAACAGTTGGTTTTCTTGTTCTTGTCCACTGAACACTTAAACATAATGTAGCAAAATTATTTTGAGAGTGTACTTCCAGACCAAATTGAATCATAATTTACTTCAGCACGAGCCTCTAAATTTAGATGGAAGCAACAAATTATTTGCAGTACTTATATTTTAATAACACAATGCTTATAGAAAAGATCTTATAAGAAAAAAAATAACATATTTCCAAGGAAAAGGGTTTTTTTCCCTTTTAAAATTGAGTTTGTTTTTATTTACTGGTAAAATTAAACAGAAGGGCGCATGTTAGGTTTTTCCTCTCTACTTGGAATTGCTTCCTCTGAATATTTTCTTGCTTCCTGCCAGCCTTTGCCTCCTGCCGATGCATTTGTAGAGCATTGGTTTCTTTGAGCTTATTTTCCTGATTTCTCACATTATGTCAACAAAATGCTTTGTATGTCCCCTGCCACCAAACTTCAGTCTAAGCATTTTGATGCTCCAGAAGCTCAGAGAAGCTCTTTTGGCTTCTTAGATGCCTGCAATTAAATTTTTTCCTCCCATTCTATCTGAATGATGCAAAGGATCAGGGCTGGGAGTGGGTTGGTGATAGGAAGGCTGATAATTAGGACTGCTTTGAAAAAATCAGTTTTGATAAGGAAATAATTAAATTTTTTCCCTCCTCATACTTTCAATAATTTAATTGTTACACTTTCCATCTGAAGGTTCCTGTGAGAACAACATCCCGTTCCCCTGTTCTGTCCCGTCGCGATTCTCCCCTGCAGGGCAGTGGGCAACAGAGTGGCCAACCAGGTCAAAGAAACTCCACAAGGTAAACAAACAGTGGACAGTAAGAAGGAGTTGACTGAGTAGTTTACTGATACGCCGTCTGTTTTCACAGCAGATGAGATTCCTGAGCTAATCCATTCATTGTAAAAGAAAAAGTGTTACACTAACAGACATGACTGTGTCAAATAGATCTGTACAAAAAGAGAGTCTCCATTCATTTGGCATATTGGTAATATTAAAGTGAAAAAAATGCATCCCTATAAATGGAAGATAGAGAATCTGAGTACACTATCGACACGACCTCAGAAAACTTTGCGATACATAGAAGTCACAGATTACTAAAGGAGTCAGTAATTGACTGACAGTGTATTCTTAAGATACAAGATCATTTTTTTTTTACTATTGTAATGACATTAGGGGAATTCCACGTTAAATGCTATAATCGGGCTAGTTTTCTCCTACCTCCATTCAGAAACTTTGAAAGTCCATTATCAAACGTGTTTATCATTTGATTCTGTGTCTTAGGATAATGCAATACAATGCCTCTCTTTTTTTCTACTCAACAGCAGTATTGAGCCCAGGTTGCTGTGGGAGAGAGTGGAAAAGCTGGTACCCAGGCCTGGCAGTGGCAGCTCCTCGGGGTCCAGCAATTCGGGCTCCCAGCCCGGATCCCACCCTGGATCTCAGAGTGGCTCTGGAGAGCGCTTTAGAGTAAGATGTAAGATGGCTTTTTTTCCTTTCTTTTTCACATATTTTCCCTACACTGGCTTATAAGATCAGCATATTGAAAATATCTAATTATAGAAAAATGCCTGTGATTTGCATCCAGTTACAAGTCACAAAGCATTGTTTCACTGTGGATTGCTGATAACACTTATTGTTATGTACCATCTAACTGGAACCAACTCATGGGTCACCCTCTACGTATTTCAGACAGTAGGTCATACAGAAGTTGACCGTCTGTCCTTTGCCCAGGGAGCAGCTGGTGGATTTGACTCACTTGTCTTTAGAATGACAGCACAGCTCCTTACCACTGGACCACTAGAGATTCCTAATATCACTTATGTAATCATTTTTTTAATATAAAGAGCTGGCTTCATTTTGACTGAAGGATTACAAATCATTTTGGTTTTCTACACATTCATTCATAGATATTTTGTTTTATAAAATTAATTATAGCCAATTAATGGATTCATTATAGTGTCTGATCAACCTCTTATTGTAGATTGCCTTTGTCATCACCCAGCTTACTTACTTACCACTTTTCACTCCTTTTCTTTCCCCTCCTCTCCCTGGTTCCCATCCAGAATTGATTCCATTTGTGTGTATGCTTTTTCTTATGGTGACCTTGTACCATAAATGTCTTTTTGTGGTTGGCATATTACTCAGCAACATTTATTTTAGATTTATCCCTTTGTGCCATATTTTCCAATTTCTTAATCATTTCTTAGTGTTGTGTAAACTCCCTTGTATGAATGTGCCATTCTTCTGTTCATGGACACTTGGGTTGTTTCCAACTTCTTGCCATTGTTAATAATGCTGCAGTGGACATGGGTGTGTCTGTGTCACACCTTTTATTTTCTGGAGTTATATACATAATAGTAAGTATCCCTGGACCAAATCATATTTCTGTTCCCATCTTCTAAGGAAGTATAAACTGCTTTTATTCATAATGGTTGCACCATTTTACATTCCTTCCAAAATGCTGACTTTTGAGAGTTTGCAAGGACTTAGCATCGTGAGCACTTTACGTGCATTGTCCCATTTAATCCTTACAGTAACCCAAAGTGATGTGTCATCATTGTTACCAGGGAATGATATTTAATAAGATTGCATATCTTTTGTAAAGTAATAAGCTAAATAGCAGAGCTGAAATTTTACTTCTTTCAGACTCGAGGGTGTATATTTTCATCAATTTTCGTGATTTTAACAGTTGTTTAGTAGATTGAGAAATGCCCTCTATAATGTACTGTTTTGGGGCACATGATACAGAGTCTGTGATCAGGAAAGATTCTGAAAAAGGAATCCATGATCTGGATACCCACCCTTTTTCCCTCTACAGTTCAGACCTGTGAATAGAGACCCTTTCATGAAAAGAGTCTCTGGCAGACGTCAGGTGAGGAGTGAGGAGAAAGTCACCAGAGGGCGAAGTCATTTGGTTAGGACAGCTTTGCAGCATTTTGAATACATTGACTTACCTACTTTTCTTTTTCTCTTTTGGACCTACTGCAGCATCGTCCAAATCCGAGGGCTCTCCATCTCAGCGCCTTGAAAATGCAGCAAAAAAACCTGAAGATAAAAAGGAAGTTTTCAGACCTCTCAAACCTGCTGTAAGGATTATACAAAATCAATTTTACTTATCTCAGGCTTGAGTGAGCTCTCTCTGTCAAAAATACATAGTTGAGATGTCCGAAATTCTTTTTCTTGGCCCCCAAAATGGATTTAAAGATTTTTAGAAGGGAATGACCCAAATCTCAGGCTCGCTTGTGCCTTCCTAACTCAATTTATGTTCTGTCTAAAGCACCCAGTAGAATACCTTTCCCTTAAAGTTTCACCTATGCATTTTGTGTGCCGTCATCTTTATAGAGCAACAGAACTGTAAAGTAATGGACACTTTAAAAACATAAAAGAGAAAACATTTGTCTGCTTGCTTGACATTAACTTCTTACTCTCGATAAGTTGGGCATTTACAATACTGGCTTTTAAAATAATTGCTTTAAATTGCTGCCTTAGACTTTACGTGTTGCTTAAATGCTGCTTTTTGGTACCTGTGATGATAATTTTGACTACCTGACATATTTCCCCTTAATTCTTAGGATATTAGCGGGCCGTGTAACTGTGTGTATATTGTGGGATTTTTAAGCCTGTCCGAAATTTGATCTCCTACTTGTATTGATTTCTCTGCTTCTCCCTTCTCTTCTTGCTCCACGCTTCCTCACACTGTGCATTCTGCGTCAATGATGACTTCTTGGATTCAATGAACCCACTCCTGTACCGCAGGGTGAAGTGGTAAGCCACGTCTCTGGGGAATTCTGCATCAGCACAAAACTCTTAACTCTCTTTTAACCTTGGATTCAGTTTTTCTTTTCTGTCTTCCACTTGCTTTCCCTGTCTCCACGCTCACTCCTAGAGTTTAAAGCAAGAACTTAAAATCTTGAAACTCTTGCTTCAGCTCTTTTCAAATACAAAACTTGTTATGTGTATTTTTAAAATCACTAAATACGTCTTCTGAGTATCTTCTTTCAAAGTTCCAGCTGCAGTCCTGAATTAATAGCAAAACTAAAGGTGTCCAATATATCATTACTGTTATTTCAGAGGCTAAGGCTCAAAAAGGGAGAATATTATTTGTAATGTTGTTGTTAGGTGCCCTTGAGTCAAGTATGACTCATAACGACCCTATGAACAACAGATCTGATCCCTTTCTATCTTATGCCATCCTCACACTTCCTGACACATTAGAGCCCACTAAGGCAGCCACCATGCCAGTCCTCCTGGTCGAGGGTCTTCCTCTCCTTTGCCAACCATCCACATCACGTCCCTCTCCAAGAAATAGCCCCTCCTAGCAACATGTATTAATTTCATTGAGGTTCCAGATGAGTTGGGACTGCTATATATATATATATATATTTTTTTTTTTTTTAAGTTAATGGCCTGCTTTCAAAAAGTCATCTAAAATATGTTTCTCAAGTAGATGTACTTTGAGCTTTAAAACAAAAACATGAAGTATAATAATCTTGAAAACTTAAGTTTGGCTGATTGTCTGAGTCTTATAAATACCTAGTATAGTAGGGTTACATACATGGTACCCCTTTAGCGAGAACTTTTACTATAGACTTTATCCTTCTGGTGTCCTTAGTTATTGGAGGCAACTGTTGGAAGACAGAGATAGCACAGGCTACCTTCTCCTGCCCACAACCGTCAGCCACTTCATCACCAGCTTTTTAAATGAATGTGGCCATTTGTTCACAGTTGGTGAAATTTCTGAGATGGTATATTAAGACTATTTAATTAGAAGCTTACTTTGAGGAGAATTCCTGTAAAAACCTTTGTCATCTAGCCATTCAACTTTACAGCGAAGTCTAAGGCTCGGTCTGCCTACACTTACTGATTTAGAATGCCACCTTATTGTTGGGGGAGGGGGATAATGAAATCATCAGACTATCATTACCATTTTTGTTGTTGCTGCTGTGGGGTTTAAGCTACTTTCAACATCTGTCAAAAACTGTAAGAACTCCCCTTGATAAAGCCATTTTACAAAGCAGACGTCACGGCTATTTTTTTTTTTTTTCAATAAGTTACAATAAAGTCTTCTGATTCCTTTCTCTGTCCTTGTCCCATCTCTCTGTCTTTGCCTCATTGTCTCTTGTCTGCCCTGTGTGTTAGGACTTGACGGCACTGGCCAAAGAGCTTCGAGCAGTGGAGGATGTGCGACCACCTCACAAAGTGACCGATTACTCCTCCTCCAGTGAAGAATCGGGGACGACAGATGAAGAAGATGATGATGTTGAACAAGAAGGGGCTGATGAATCCACCTCAGGACCAGAGGACACCAGAGCAGCGTCAGTCCTGGGTGCACTTTAGAGAGGCTGAGGGTGTTTCTTCCTAGCCCTCTTTGTACTTAGAGCCAGTTTTTCCATGTTTACTAGTTGGTTATCATTGATTAAGCAGAAGATAGCTCTTGTGTTATGACCCCTACTCTTCTGTCAACTGTATGTATTCCTTCAGTCCCCCAAAAAGTCATTGTTGAATTTTAAATTTTAGGCCATGGTAAAAGGGCAAATTCATTTGGGTTTGACTACTTGAAGTGTTAATCAGCGACAGACTGAGATGACAGGACATTTTCTTACTAAAGGTGGAAAGCTAAGTCCTTGTTTTCCATGAGGAAATTTCAACCTATACCCTGTTCTCATCTTACTACTCAGAGAGCAAAAAATTCCCAGAATATCTTTGACCTGTAGGATTCTGGGGCCCATAACATTTGGATTTTTGTCTTTAATAGGTCATCTCTAAATTTGAGCAATGGTGAAACTGAGTCTGTGAAAACCATGATTGTGCATGATGATGTAGAAAGTGAACCCGCCATGACCCCATCCAAGGAAGGCACTCTCATCGTCCGCCAGGTACTTCTGTCTTCTCTGTTGTCAGAGGTTGAGCTTTTTCTGTAGTCATTAACCCACTCGCTCATTCACTCACTCATGCTGTTTCTACATCATTACCTGTTTCCATTTTAACAAGACCCTGAGGGTGTAGAACGTCCGGGGCTTAGAGAGGCAAGTGTGTGCTGCATGCCAACAAGTTAGCTCGCAGTCTTCCACCCCATGTTGCTGCACCTCTGCATGTTTGGCGGCAGCCCTCATTCAAGCACCACGCTGAGTCTCACAGTCTGTGTCTGAGCAGTTAGAAAAGCCACAGGGAGTCCTGAGACAGATTCACAGGGTGAGGATGCAAAACGGGAGTCCGTCCACAGCCAGGCAGCCCTGCTCATTCTGCAGAGGGCCTTTGACTCTGAAGGTCTCCAGTGCTGCACTGGGGAGCATCGAGTTAGGCAGCGAACATTCAGACACTGAGAATGAACGCTCTGGAGGTCTCTCTTGTCTACTTGATAGGGAACCACCAGTCTGGATTACTCAGTTTGTATTACTGAGTTTTACAAAACTCTATCCGTTTCTAGCTGATTTTTTTTTTAAGTGTTAATGCTGCTTATTTAAGTAGAACAGGGCATCAGTGTAGTATTTGGACTCTTCTCTAAAGTGTGTGTGTTTGGATGGAAAGTGAGAAGAACGTGGAAAAAGACCAAGATTCAAAGAACCAACAAGCGTACCCTTTTAGAGCTCTCAAGAGAAAGATTGGATAAAAAAATAATTGGGATGGTAATTTTGGTAGAGAAACTAGTATGGCAGAGAAACCACGTTAGCACGCACTGCTGAAATTGTTTGGGTTATGTAAGCATTTAACAAGGACGTGTGAGCAATCCAGGTGGATTTCCCCCTGGCTTTTCCTTGATAACCTAACAGAACTTGAAAGCCACACACCACTTTAAACCAGGTCAGTGATCAGTAGGGTCATAGGCCCTTTCAGCAGCACTTGAGCGAGACAAGTGTGCCTGTTTTTTCTGCAGAATACAGTTGACCAAAAGCGTGCCAGCCATCATGAGAGCAATGGCTTTGCGGGTCGCATTCACCTCTTGCCAGATCTCTTACAGCAAAGCCATTCCTCCTCCACTTCCTCCACCTCCTCCTCCCCATCCTCCAGCCAGCCGACACCCACCATGTCCCCACAGACACCCCAGGACAAGCTCACTACTAATGAGGTATGTCTCGCACCACAGCTGGCTGCTTTCCTAGGGTTAGAGCAGCACTGCCTAGTAGCTAGTTTGCAGCGGAGATCTTTCCAAACCCCTTCACCCCTTCCCTTCCCGCCCTGCTTTCTTCTGTCACCTCCCCTTCCCCATCAGCCCCCAAGTAACATATTTCAGATCCGCATACAAATCCCTTAACCTTAGATCAGTTTCCCTCCAAACTTGCCAGTTCACTATTTACTTTTCTCTAGATAAGTTTAGTTGCATGGCTTTCTGTATTCAGTTTCTTTTTAAGAAATAATTGCTATGTTCTCAGACCCATTATGTATTTGGCATGAAATTCTTGTCATTTTGTGAAATCTACCCTTTTTCCCCCATTATGTTTATTATTATTTATCCAACAAGTAAAGCACAGCAGAGCTGGCCTTATCTGGACCGATGTGTCCTGTACAGGGACCTCCTTGGTTCTAGCAGGCCTGGATTGGTTTTTTTATGTGGTGTAATTTTTTTGTTTGTTTTTTCTCCCCTCTTTTTTGCTGCTTTGAGGAGGGGGTGTTGGTTTGGTTATGCTTGTTTTTGCCATCCTTGTTAAAAGGATTTTTTTTCCTTGAAATTTACAATCACTCAGAAATTTAAGAGAAGGCCAAGTAGGAGGGGCTTGGGGAGGGAAACATAGAAAATTAGGATGTTTAGCAAAAAGTGCAAAGGTCTGTGAGTGCTTTTCCATTTAAAATTGTCAACAGAAGTCCTGTGTGCTTGTTTGAAGGCTGGACTGTGATGTGTGGCTTCAGTGCCAGCAGGTGAACTTGGCTCTTTGCAGCAGAGTTAGTCCCAAGTGTAGTTTTCTATCACCTTGAATATCTTGTTCTAAAACAAAGATATTCCATTTCATGGGAGGCTTTATTTAAATACATTTCCCCTAACAGTTGAGGGAGGTTGAAACCAACATGGAGCTTCAGACAGTGAAAACATTTAACAGCCCACCGGCTCCTGCGTTGGTTCGCTTGTTAGAGAGAATCCAAATAATCACTCCCTTTCAGGAGCTCCCAGACAGGGCTGACCTCACATTGGCCATCAACACCAGATTGGCCATCAGCATCAGATTGGCTGTCAGCTGGCTTGGCTCCTGACTCGTGGTTCTGGGAAGAGAAGCCTGCAAAGAGGCAGATGTGTCAGATGAGAGAGCACAGCCCTGAGGAACAGCGGGTGGGGCTCCAGGAAACAGGGAATCCAGGTGCCCATGGGGGTGGCAAGGGCAGCAACCAGAGCCACTTAATCCTTTTTTTCCTCCTGTGATAATCTCACCTACACTCACATTCCTCCTTATATTTATATTTTAAACTTTTGCTCCATTTTGCTTTAATGTACAGTATTTTACTGTAACCCCTTAACTCACTAAACTGGCAAGTTTATATTTTTCTGTTTGTTTTTGCTTTAATTGTCATTACATTTTCACTTAACAATTTGTTTCACTTTCTTTGTGTTTCTTAATTTTTCTTTTTTATCCCCTTTGGTCTTAAGTTACATTATTAACAAAAACACCAGTGTTCCTAAAAGGACAGAAGGATGGGTCCTATTTGGCCATTTGTACCTTTCACTGATGGACTCATGTAGGAGGCGGGTTTGTTGGCCATGCATCTAAAATAATGGCCTCCAGAACTTCTCTAGCTTTCCGGCAAAAAGTTAAATTGAAAATTAAGATTTGCCGGTCCTCCAAGAAACATTAATTTTATATATATATATAGTATTTATTTTAAGCTAGGAGAATGAACTGTAGATTATATTAATAGTTTACAGCATTTTCTTGTTTTGTGTGATGAATACATAGCTCAGAAAAGACATAGACTCTTTCAGTGATTCCAGGTTAAAAGACTTGCCCCTGGGGTATGGCACGCTCACAAGGAAGAGCCCCTAATGCATTTTGGGTAAATGATACAAAAGACAGTGGGCTGTGTAGTGGGAAGTAGTGGTAGTCTAGATGAGGATTGAAAATGTTTTTTTCTATATTCATCTTTTTAATGTCATTTGTATTAATAAAATTGAAATTTACATTGCAGACTCAGTCCGCTAGTAGCACACTCCAGAAACACAAATCTTCCTCCTCCTTTACACCTTTTATAGACCCCAGATTACTACAGATTTCTCCATCTAGTGGGACAACAGTGACTTCTGTGGGTAAGTAAAGGAGCAATGAGAAAGCAGCTGAAAAGCAGGACTCACTCACTTTGAGTTGTTCTTTAAAGTGGCTTAGGCATGGCACAGTGATTGTGGGCAGGCACAGACTTCGGGTACAGAAGCTGTTCCCATCACGCTTGAATTGCCTTATTTGCAATGAGCTGCATAGTCGATTTCCTTTTTCCATGTGCATTTCTTACCGATTTCTTTTCCTTAGCTGTATAGCATATAAATACTGGAGTAAAGTAGGGGAGGGAAGAATAGTGTTTGTGTGAGTAGGAAATGATTTCCAATGTGCTATGTTTTAGTGGGATTTTCCTGTGATGGAATGAGACCAGAAGCCATAAGGCAAGATCCTACCCGGAAAGGCTCAGTGGTCAATGTGAATCCCACCAACACTAGACCACAGAGCGACACCCCCGAAATTCGTAAATACAAGAAGAGATTTAACTCTGAGATTCTCTGCGCTGCATTATGGGGTAGGTATCATGCTATTATTCTCTGACCTGTTTAATTTTTGTTCTGAGCAACACAGATTTGCTGTTTTAAAGAAGTACTATTTTCAATAGCTGGTGGGACTTTTTGGAAGAGTCTTTAATGGATAAAATGGGAGGTTTTCTATATTGACCTTCTTCTTTGGGCTCATTATAATAAACTGTGGGGTCCAAGCATGTGTTGGCATGTGCTTCCACAGTCAGAGATTTCTTCATGTAAAGAAGAAAAGTAAAAAGATGAAACAGGTCTTTCTTTATTGGGACAATGACAACGATCACTAAAGTGATTTTCTCTAAAGGTTTCCTGGTTGAGGTTTTCCCCCTTGTTCTTTGTTGATTAGGCCTAATATTTAAATATGGTGGGGGATGCTGTGGTGGCCTAGTAATAGCAAATTATGCTGCCAACCCAAAGGAAGGTGGTTGGAATCCGCCAGCTGTTTTGCAGCCAAAGATAGGTCATCTCCTTCTCTGCAGTTCACAGCTTCTGAAAGTCTGCTGGAGGGTCTCTTAGGAGTCACTTCCGGCTTAATGGCACATAACAATATTTAAAAGTAGCTCTTAAAAGCAGTGTGTCACTTGTAGAAATCTACAGAAGAGAGGGAGCATTGCCTGGATAAAACTCTTTTGATACTTGTGATGTTTGAGTAGCATGTTTCAAATTTAAAACCATGACAAGCATTCCTTGGGAGTTTGCTGTGCTCAGAACCCTCTAGCATCTTGAATTTCATGACACGTCCTTCCATTTCCCTCACTTTCACTTATTTAATAGTTTTTTTGTTTAAATCACTGGACTGTTGCTGTGAGACACCTCAAATAGAAGCCCCCTAACTAACTTTTGTCTGTTCCTTTATCCATTTATCCACTTCAGTTTCTTTTCAAGGATTTGTTAAATTCTAACTCAGAGTTTTTCAAATCTACGCACTCTTATTTCTTTTCCATGGACATCATCCAGTTTAGGAGTTCATTATCACTTGCGGGTCACAGATACCCAGCTGTGGCCTACCTTGTATAATCTCCCACCCCCATCATATTATTTCTGTTTTCCATGAGGCCTCAGCTGTTCTTTGTGTCCTGCCAAATTTAAGTTTTGTTATCCTGGATTTTTGAGTTCTCAGTTTTATTTCCCAACTTTTTATTTTTGTACAGAAGCGCAATTGAATTTTTATTATTGTAACCTAAACATCACCCTGTGACATTTAAGTAAAATTCTATTTATTTACCCCATGGATTCTCTGGCTGTAATGTGAATTCTCTGATTGCTTAACTGACTTAAATACTGTGTTTACTGCCTCATTTGGAGACTGCTAATTTCACTGGGGTAGATTGAGACGACTGACACATCTGAATAAAAATTTTGTGAGAAAGCTAGAGACAGTAAGAGTATATGAGAGGAAAGGATGGGGAGGTGCTTTTTTATGTTGCCCACAGAGATGATATTTGGAGCAAGAAGAAGGAATACATACAGCCGTGGTGGGCTGTGACCAGGTGGATGAATAAAATGACAAGTAGAGTCACATAACAAAGGGAAAACTGGAGAATTATTAAATAGCATGGCAGAGATTCTGCATACAAGGACACCAGTTTAAAAGATGTGGTGGTCAGCGATTGTAAGAAACTGCAGAAATGAATGAGCGTGAAGGATCCAAAGCCCCCTGGGTTGCTGAGAGAAGAGGAAATTGCATTGCAAGGGATTTAGGCTGTGTGATCTACAGGGAGTTGAGCTGCTAACTTTGCCAGTTGGAATCTACCAGGCACTGCTTGGTAGAAAGATGGGAAGCCTCTCCTGTGGTTTACAGCCTCCACATTCCCGCTGGAGGGTCTGTAGTGAGTCCATTCCAGCGTGAAGGCAGTGAGTATTTTAGAGAAGAAAAAAGGAGGTACTGTCACGGTGGAATTTTTAAAGGAAAATTAGGGTTTTTTAAAAAACATCAACAACAAAACCCAAGATATTTCCAGATGCAGAAAGGATAGGATAGGTTTTATACCAACAAGAAATACATTCAGATGATAGGAAAAGTGAGAGGAAGGAGCTGGTAAACCAGAGCAGGTAAGGGATTGCCATGAGAGGAGGGACCTGGGATGGAATGGTTGAGGATACAGTTCAGGGTTAAAGGATAGTTAAGCATCCAGGCAACTCACTTAGGGTGTTCTTGGTCATCTTGAAATGGATTAGGCTGTGCAGGTCCTCTCTCGGGCTGTTAACAGCACAGTCATTAGTTTGAACCCATTGCTTGCTCCGTGGGAGAAAGCTGTAGCAGCCTGCTTCTGTAAAGACTCTAGCCTGAGACAATTCTCTTCTGTCTGTGGGGTCACTGTGAGTCAGAACTAACTCTGCAGCATTGGGTTTGTTTTGTGTAGGTTGCTGGTGCATAATGGTTTTGTACTCAGCTACTAACCAAAAGTCCATAGTTCAAACCCACCAGTGACTCTGTAGGAGAAGGACATGGCAATGGAGCAACCCGTGTGGGGCAGTTCTGGTCTGTCACGTAGGGGATTGCTGTGAGTCTCAATTGATTCCTTGACTCACATAGGGAGCTAAAGCACTGTAGATGGCTCATTTTCTGGTTGAAGACTAACCTTAAAGGGCAGAATTTGGTCGATCTGGGTAAGACAGACCTGCTGATGTGCTTACTTTAAGGTTATAGCCAAGAATAGTTCGATTCCTGATATGGGTTTTCCTTGTATCAGAACCATGATATTTCAGAAGTTTTCCAGTGAGAATGAAAAATGATAAGGGAAGCAAGAAGAAAGATCCTATTATCAAATGAAAGTTTGTCCAAGTCTCTAAATGAGGCCAAGGAGACCTGTGGCTCATTCTAGGAGAGAACTGAAAAACAAACACCACCATCCGCCCCCCCCCCCCCACACACACATAAAAAGAACCCAAACTGGTAATTTCTTGAGTATGAAAGAAATTGAGAGATTATATCTTCTTCCTTTTTCTCCCCCTCGTATTCTTTTTTAAAATTTTAAGTATTTAACCATCACTCTTCTAAACCATAGAGGGGCTGGTAGCTTAGTAGGAAGGGGTTGTGCTGCCAGCCCAAAGACATACAGGTCAAATCCACCGGCCTCTCTGCAGGACAAAGATGCTTCGTGTTCTTCCCTATGACCTACTCCTGAAAACCTGCTGGAGGGTCAGTTATGAGCTAGTTCCGACTCCACAGTGCACACTACAGCAACATTTCTAAACCCTAATATCAGAGTAAATTAAAACTGCTGTCTTTTCTAAGTCATCCTTTCTATACAACCGGGATGTTTTCAAAGCAGAACATAAATGTACGTGTTTTTGTGTCCTTGAAACAGGAGTGAATTTGTTAGTGGGGACAGAAAGTGGCCTGATGCTGCTGGACAGAAGTGGCCAAGGGAAAGTATATCCTCTTATCAACCGGAGACGATTTCAACAAATGGATGTACTTGAAGGCTTGAATGTCTTAGTGACAATATCTGGTAAGGCACTTTCTTAGTGTTTTGTTTTTTTTTTAAAAGTAGAATTGATACATTATTTTAGAAATTTGTTTGAATAGATGTATAAAGCAGTAGCACTTAACTGTGACAAACTTCATTTAGCTCATTTTCTGGTGTGGTAAGTTACATGATATACACAAATATAAGATGCTTTTATATGGAAAGATGTTTTTATTGAGTTTCCTTACATGCATCTCTATACATATATTCTTAATATTATGTATTGGTTTTAAATTTCTTTGTTCATTTATTATGTCTTTTGAATATAATTTAGAAGTAATTCTTCCTAAAGTCTCATTTTTCCCCCTGTTATATTTATACAACATTAAAATACACTTACAGCATTTCTCATTTTTAAAAATATTTTAATAGGTTTGTTCATAATTCATACACATCATGTTTTGTGACATATGCCATGCATTATATTTTATATAATTAATTACCACTGCTCTGTTTGTTATCCTCCTTTTGAAGTCTTCCAGTTTTCCAACCCCTCTTCCACCCACCAAATTTCTGCTATGCATGTGATTTTTTTCTCTCTTCCTTTTTCTCTCCCTAATTACTCTGCTTCCCCTTCTCATTTTCTACAATTGTACTTACGTTGCTAACTTTTCATCCTTTTATCACAAATAATGGCCTGGTGCAGTATTTGTCCATATCTGGCTAGGGTATTTCACTCAGCAAAATACTCTCTAGTATCTCCCAATTCATACAGTATTTTACAAAGCTTTTGTTCCTTAGTGCTGCATAGTATTCCTTTGGGTGAGTATCCCACAATTTCTTAATCCATTCATTTGTTGATGAGTATTTGGGATGTTTCCATTTTCTTGCTGTTGAAAATAACACTGCTAGGAACATAGGTGAACATAATCTCCATTTGTGCCTCAGTTCTGATTTCCTTGAGGTATATTCCTAGCAGTGGAATAGTTGGGGTATGGGATTTGTACGATTAGCTTTTAGAGGAGACACCAGAGTGCCAGGAAGATGGTTCCTGATTTGATACACCTGTACATGCTTGACTTTTGACTCTTCTAATGAGCAATCTTCAAAAGCATATGTATGTGTAATTTCTAATTGATGATCCCACATCACCCACAGTGGTGCCCTGTGCATGAGCCCAACTGCTCTGTGCCGCCTTGTTAGGTTTTACTGGACTCAGCCAGTTGAAATTGATGAGTGTCCAGTTCTTGTGCTTTCATGTGCAGAAGGGATGCTTTGCCCTGATTATAAAAATATTGTTACTTATTTATTACTATTTTTCCTTAAAACAATTACTAGCTGATGTAAATTCCTTTTTTTTAAGCATTATTGTTCTTAATATAAATATCTTCACTGTAGCATATGAAAAACTATGGTAGAAGAGCAATTAGAGACAATTATCTTCCAATCACTTAGGCATACACCCAACTCTATACACATTGTTGGAGACAAAATGTATAGTAAATAATGGTTTTGGAATAATTCAAGCTTAAATAATAAGGGAATGATATGACACCCATATACCAACTGAATAGTTTTAACAGTGCTGAAATATACTGTTGTAGATACAGCTAGTGTCCTTGCCCGCATCTGCCTGCCATGGTTGCCAAAGCCCGTGTTTTTAGAAGCTAAAAACCTTGTTCTGGGGATTCTGAATTTTACTCATTGCTGGGGTGGAACTGACTCACAGCTGGCTGTAAATCACATGAGAGAGGATCTTCTTCCCATGAACCCATTGGTGGCTTCGAACTGCTAGAGAGGTTATGCCCACACCCTGCCCACTACACCACTGGAGAGTCCAGGGATTCTGTAGAGTCCTAGAGGAAGAAACGTCAGGATACTCCAGTTAGGGGCTTATTTGAAAGGGTACATCTTGAAGCACTTATCACTACAGCGAAGATTAGTGTTAATGAGCCCCACTTACAGACTCAGAGCTTCCGATGAGAGTATTTAATTGCCAGGCGTCCCTCTGCACTGAAACAGGCAAACTATTTAGGATTGGCTGAATAAATCACAGGAGCCTATGTGGCACAGTGAGTTAGTTGGGCTGTGACTTGAAAGAAGAGTGATTCAGATCCATGTGCAAGGAAGACAGGTGAAGAAATAAGCTCTCAATAAAGATTTACAACCTTCCCCCCCCAAAAAAAAAAATCATGTGGTTTTTCATCTTGTACTGTATTTATATGTGCCCAGGTAGCCAGCCTTTTTTTAATGCCATCAAATATTCCTCCATGATAACTTACTTCACATGCTACAGAATATTAAATAGTTGTCTTCAAATCTACTCTTTCATTTCCCATTATTAGTCTTTCTGTTTGTCCTATTTTGAACACACTCGTTTAGATTACTAAATCTTTTGGCATTTACATAGGTCATAATTTCATAATAACTTGCTATGCCAAAGGGTATGCAAAATGGTAAGACTTTAAATAAGCCCTGCAATACCAGTTACAGTTCTTACTTAATTATCTCCTATCTTAAATCTGTATCATGTGATTATGTGTAGTAGATTTCCATGAGTTTCCTCGCAGTTAACTTTCACATGTGCTATTGGTTGTGAGTTTTGTCTGGAGACTAAGGTGCACCTGATCCAGGCCATGATTTTCACAATTACTTGCTATGCATCAGAAAGCTGGAGCATGATAGAAGGAGAATTGATGCCGTTGAGCTGTGGTGCTGGAGAAGGGTATTGAATATATACCATGGACTGCTAAGAGAATAATCAGGTTCATTCTGGAGAGGTTGAAACCAGGCTGCTCTTTGGAGGCAAGGATTCTGAAGCTCCGTCTGACATACTTCGGGCATGCTGCAAGGTGGTACCAATCCTTGGAGAGGGATGTCATACTTGCAAGGGTGGAGGCATAGTACAAGAGAGGAAGAGCCTCGATGAGATGGATTGACTCAGTTACTGGGGTATTGAAAGTTGGTGTGTCAGATACAATAAGGTCGACTCAGGATACAGCAGGATTCAGAGCTGTTGTGCTTAGGGTTGCTATGAGTCGCAGGCAACTTCTTGGCACATAGCCACAACAACATTGGTTGTGAGTAAGTAGCTTGTTGAAATGCAACAATTTCCCTTGTTTTGTCATACTTAGATGAGAAGACAGCCATTTAAAACTTGAGTTCTGATGGGATACCTCTTAAAATAGGAAAAAAATAACAAACCTGCAGCTAAATACAGTTTCAGCTTCATTTTGTGATGCAATGAAACAAGAGGGCTCACAGGGGTAATAGTCAGCTGAGACCAGAGATGATCTATTGGTTTATTTCTGGCACTCATCCCTTTTGTTAGCTCTTACTGTTCTTGTTTTATTATTATTATTATTATTAATTGATATTTTAATGAAAGTTTACAGAAAACTTGGATTTCCATTCATTGTTGCACAATTTTCACCCTCCCTCCCGTCCCTAAGTCCACTTTGCTATGTACCTCTTATTCTGGACTGTTGTCAGGCAATTAATAGCTAATCATATATTTCTTTTAGACAATTCTTTCCCAAGAACAAATACTGCATAATGCCACTGCTATAAGACAAGACTGACATCAGGGTTAGGGGGGAAAAGTGTTAATGTTCTTCAGCATTATAAAAGTAATACATTTTGATTGGAACAGTAAAATGTAGGGGAGAAAAAAATCAGAAGATTAAAATAAAAATCTTTTCTGTCTCACTAATAAATATTATAGTTTTAATACATTCTTTTCTATATGTCTGTCTCATGATTTTGGAATAAAACACTGTAGAGAAAACTGTATAGCTTTCCTTTTATTGTCAATATGTGCTATCAAGTCGCCTGTGACTCATAGTGGCCCTATGTACAGATGTTCTGAACTCTGCTCTATACTGAGCCAGTCTCCTTGTCTCCGACACACCTACCCCCATTACCCCAGTTACTGTGTCAATCTTGGTTATCCTTTTATTTAACACATTATCATAAGCCTATTCCCACTTAAAAGAATTTCTCAAAACTCACCATAGTTTTATTTCAGTCAGTATAAGGCACTATACTGAAATGCATAGATTTTATAGATCTGTATTGTTGAGTGAAAGGTCACAGAAAGAATTAATCCCTGTAGCATCTCCTTCTGATCCCCTCACCCTTGCCAACCAGTTGAAGAACTGGCATTTAAAGCACTCCAGCATCTCCCAGCCACTGCCCCAGCCCCTTCCCCAAAAGGAACCACTGTCATGATGATGAAGGTTTTGCCTTCATTGAATTGATTTTCTATAAATGGGAGATGTTCTTTTATGTCTGGCTTCTTCTACTTACCTGTTTTTGTTGCTTGTAGTTGAGGTTCATTTCTTTTACCAGACACTCGTGTTGCTTTCTGTTTGTAGCTTTTATGGATGGTAAAAGTTCTTGTGTACGTATTTTTTTTTGGGTTCAAGTTCAATTGTAGATAAGTTGAAATAGGTATAGTTCATATCCAGCATCAGCTAATCAGATGTCTTATGTGTTAAAAACATTAAACACTTCCAGGTACAAAGTGTGATTAACCTAAAGATACACTAATGTTTTTATGGACATCACAAAATATCACCTGTTTATTACTGTGAAACACTGTGTTTTGAATTTTCAGCATAATAGTCTTTAAGAGGTCAAGGGTTCTTAAACTCAAGGCAAAAGACAGTCAATTCCAGATTCTTCCAGTTGTTCAGCAGGAGAAAGATGGGCAGCCTCCTCCAATGAGATTATTGCCTTTGAAAACTCACTGGAGGGTCATTTATGAGTTGGTTCTGACTCGATGGCCCATAATACCACAACAACCCTTTCAACGTGGCTCTATTAATTCATAATACTAGTTTATGAGGTTCCTAGTTCCCCCCTCCGTTGGTAGCCAGTCTTTTAAATCTGAATATTTCAATAGGTTTCTTGAGTTTGTATTTCTTTATGGTTTAATATGCATTCCCCTAATCAATATAGAACTCAGGCACCTTTTATGTGTCTGCAGGAATCTTGTGTGTGGCACCTGCTCTCTTTGCTTGCTTGGTTTTTCTGCTGGATTATATCTCTCTCTCTAATCATAGGGATTCTTTACATATTCTGGAAGAGAGTTCCTTGTCTAAGTTGCACACGTCTCCAATTTGTTGCATGACAGCTGCTAGATTTGAGTCAATGCAAGAGTTAGCTTTCAGTTCCTTCACTTGACAAATGAGAGGTAATAGTTACTATTAAGGAGTTTTGAAAATGAGATGATATTATAAACATGAATTCTGTATTATCTTCTGTTACTAAAGATGACATTTCATTTTGAACATGCTTTTAAAATATTTATATTTCTTTTGTTAGGCAAGAAGGATAAGTTACGGGTCTACTATTTGTCCTGGTTAAGAAATAAAATACTTCACAATGACCCTGAGGTTGAGAAGAAGCAAGGATGGACCACGGTAGGAGATTTGGAAGGATGTGTACACTATAAAGTTGGTAAGTCCCAGAAGAGACATAAGTGTCGTATTTTTCTAGTATTTTCCATAAAACTTAGATTAAACTTGCTTTTGGTCTTTGTGGTTCAATTCTCATGTTCTATTTCTAAGCCGTCATTAGTCCTGTAGTATCTAACAGGCACCCTCTTAGACCATACATGCATCTGTAAGCATAGCATACAGTTTGTTTCTGCAGCCTCCTGTGTCCACATTCTCACTTCACATAGTTCGTCTTGTTACAGGATCTTTTTACCTCTGCTCTTTGGAAGTCGACATCTTTCTGTTCATTAAGTTGTGAGTTTAAGAAAACTTCTTTAGAGCAGCTTTGCCAAGCAAAAGCATCTGACAGACAGTCCTCCTTCCTCCGCCCCAGGCGGAGAGACTAGATTCTTGGCAGCCGGTCACTGATAGAATTTGACCCAAAGAGCTATGACTTATCATTTTGAATGAAGTACACAACTGTTCACTGATGCAGTAAATCTAGATTACACAGATTTACAAACGTTAGCTTACTTCTTTAATGGTAGGAAAATTTGCCCCCATTTGAAAAGAATGGAATCAACCCTTACTTGTAAAAGCTCTTCATCTCACCTTCGCTTATACGTACAGTTCTTAAATGACTGAAAAGTCTTTTATGCTTAAAGTAAACCTAAATTTGAACAGTATATATCTGTTCTGCTTTACTTACAAATTCAACTTAAAGACAGTCTTTGGAATAGACCTTATTTATAACTCAGAGACTGCTTGTAATTGAATCTAGCAACCTAGCCAGTGATATTCAATGGCAACTATGGGGTATGTGTTAGTTCTTGGCATGCACACTTTGATTCTCATAAAATAAAAATGAAGCCAAAGTACTTTTTAAAAAAACACAAATTTAAACTCAAGATCCTAGTCTGAATGATGGAAATATAAACCAGAGTGAAATGAAAGTTTTATGAGAAAGATTTTGATAAAATTTGAAGTAGTAAACCGAAGTCAAATGGTCTAAAGACCTACAGCTGGCTAGCATTTGGGGCCTCTTGGTTGCTAATTTATGCTTCTATGTTTTCTTTTCTCCTGTGCTAATTAAAATACACAGCATAATCAGTTCCTCTGCTCCTTGGGGCATTACGGACTTTATATTGATCATCTCATTTGTATATTCACAGCTCACCTTGTTAATAGTGATTTACAGGAACCATCTCAGCATGAGTCATGCTGGAAAGTAGTATTGTCTACTTTATAGAGATTTTTTTAGGACTGAGATTTTCTGTGTCTGTTGACAAGTGTTTTTGGTGGTGGTTTATTTTTTTTTTTCTAAAGTATGACTAAAATAGGTTAAATTTAATGAAATAACTCAGTCATGTTCATCCATGGTTCTATTTTCCTGCAGGGGGAGTTTGAGGCAGTATAGAGCTGTACTGAGCTTTTCATGAGACTGTCACAGTCTTAAAACTTACAGAACAAACCTGCATTTTTTGGAGATAAGAATGTAATACCATTTTGTCATTAAGCTTTCAGGAATTCCTGCCGCCCCTGCCACCCCAGTTTATCAAGACCTATTCTGTATAATCATAGTAGCCAACTGATTGGCATGGTGACTTCAGCAATGGGTTCTAGTATGTCAGAGATGGTGAGGATGACACAGGATAGAGCAGGGTTCAGGCCAGCTGTTCATGGGATCACTGTGAGTTGTACTCAACTCAGTAGCAACTGACAACAAGAGGCACAAGGTACTATTTAAATAAAAATTAAAATTTGCTTCTCAGTGGCACTAGTGCATTTCAGTTACTTACATAATTTTGAGTAACTGGTGGCTATTGTACTAACACTTCAGATTAAGACTAGTTCAACCCTAGCAGAATTTGGTATTGAAAGTAGAAAGTCCTTTATATTTTACTAGTTGTTGGTGGTTTGTTTTAACAGTGACGGTATACGGACCTTTACAGGGGGAATCGTGTTTACAATACATCACTCATACACGAATGTGAGATCAAATAGTATCTCAATGTTGTCTTATAAAGGACTTGGCAGGTACACATCTGACTAGTATATTGTGACCAGAGACCCTTTTTACCAAGAAGGTATGAGAGAAGTTAAGCAGTTTTGTAAAGGTGGCATTTACCTTATAATTGAAAAAAAGTTTCTCCTACTGCGTCTGTGATACATACAATTTACTACTGCCTTTATAGATCAGCACACAGATGATTTGGTGTGATACTTGGTGGTAGGTGTAGAATAAAGCATTTGTGACTTAATCGAGTGCTCTGGTATAGTCACCTGCCTCAGTCTGCTTAGGCTTCGTACAGACTCGAATGGGTGCGTGGAAGACCCTCACTTCTCATCTAGGAGCCTCTTGCATGGCTAATAATAGTCTTATTATCCTTTAGAAATGCTGAGCCCTCTGACATTTCAGGCTCTATGCCTGGCTGGTATTGTTCTTCATTATAAAGTCCTTGCAGTCTAAGGGGATTAATAACACTGCAGAAGGTACTCATCGAGTGAAGCCAGAATATTAGCATTGGTCCAAGGCAGCATTGACCAACATGTGAATGGCCTGAGTTATATATTGAGAAACTGGAAAAAGAAACCGAGTCTTGATCTCTCAACACTTTCCCTTCTCTGCTTAAAGGGAAGACACACATATAGAGTGTGCAGAAGACAGCTCAGAGGAGCCAGAGTTCTTGTTGATACTGACCTGCGTTGCTCTCTTTCTTTTTCTTTCTAGTAAAATATGAAAGAATCAAGTTTCTGGTAATTGCTTTGAAGAGTTCTGTGGAAGTCTATGCGTGGGCACCCAAGCCATATCACAAATTTATGGCCTTTAAGGTATAATTGTTTTTAAAAATCTCTAGCTACCCCACTTAAAGTGAGAAATCCTAATACTATAGATTATAAACAAACATTGCCACCGACTTAGATCCGGCCCTTAGCTAGCCTTCCACTGCATTTTCAGAGGCAGTAAATAATTTTTCTCTCATTTTAAAAACTAAGTTAAAGTATTAACAGTTACTTCATTTGACTCTATAGTCAAGACGGCAAAGTTTATTCTCATGCTTTTCTTACTAAACTTTAAGGGATACAACATATTGGATTAAAACTTTTAAAGACCTGACATTCAAGGAATATTAATTATATCTGAGGTCGTGTGCATTTTCCAAGGTAACAGATTTGAGAGAAATGTAGCACAATCCCGTTTCTATGTAAAAAGATTGTTCATAACACAAATTACCAGAAAAAAAATATTACCAGCTATTGTCCTGAGTATTTTTTAAGTACTCCTTTTTTAAACTCATTCTAGGATTTTTACTTGGTACATATTTATGAATTTTGCATCAAAGAGTGTTACCATGACATTATATATCCTAAATAATATAATATCTTTTTTATTACTAAACGCAAAACCTTAAACATGGCTCTTGAGACCGTTTTAATGCAAGGCCAAAAAGTAAGACTTTCCCTCCAAAATAGTGACATTTAAAAATAGTTTGAATGTTTTATTAAAACTGTAAGTTTCAGGTATAGAGAAAGTGTGTGTGTGTGTGTGTGTGTGTGTGTGTGTGTGTGTATAGATTGAGACTCCAGAGAAACAGGAGATACTGTCCTTTATGCACCAGGTATTGTATCAATTACTTTTATAAATACTATCTTATTTAATTCTGTTTCATCATTCTCATCCCTGTCTTGTGAGCTGTGATTATTAATGTGAATGAAGAACTGAGACATGACAAGATATTTTTATTTTATGTTATTATTTTTGTGCGTGTACCCTCAAATGAGATCTCACTGGTACAGGAGGAGATTCTCCTTCCTTCTCCAGCAGAACATCTGGTGGATTCGAACCGCGCACGTCTGGCGTTGCAGTGCAGTTACTTGCCACTAGGCCACCAGAGCTCCCTGATAAGCTATTATTAAAGTATAACGTAACCTTTTATTGCTTTAGCAAAAGGAAAAAAGAATGAAATAGGCCATATAGCTTGAAGTAGTAACTGCAACAATAACTGATAAATTCTCAAGACACAACTCCTACATTTTTCTGTCTCTGTTGTCTGCATGTGAACAGTTGAATAGTATGCTCCAGAAAGGCCTTACTATTTTCATTTTATGTATTTTTTTATCAAGATGAGCAACAGTAAGCAACAGGACTGGATTCCCGGTGTGGGTGTGGGAATTTGGAATGGGGCATCTGGAAGAACTGTCCTTCCGAGGCTGTGTGACTCAGTAATTGAGTAAACTTCAAAACTGGGCTCTGGTTTATCTAGTTAGAGATATTAGAAGCAATTCTGACTTCTCAATTCCTTCCTTGTAGTCATTTGGAGAATTGTTACATAAGCCATTACTTGTGGACCTCACGGTAGAGGAAGGCCAGAGATTGAAAGTCATCTATGGCTCCTGTGCTGGTTTCCATGCTGTTGATGTGGATTCAGGATCAGTCTATGACATTTACCTACCCACACACGTAAGAAAGAACCCACACTCTATGGTTGGTTGACTGGCTTCATTTTGTTTTGTCCTTTTTCTTTACTCTGCTTACTGCACTAACACAAGCAGGGATTCCTCACTTCCCTGTAATATGGGGGTGAGTATTTAAATGCTGTGCCCTTTTCAGTACTTCCTGCTCTGAGACAAGTAGAAGTTCCCACTCCAGGCACTGTGAAGCCCTTGCTTTGACTAACATGGGATGGATTTTGGGCAGTGCGGACAGACTAGGTTCCTGGGATGGGAGCACTTCTAAGAACATAATTTCTCAAATGGGTCCCACAACCAAGTATCTTTTATGATCTCAGTATATGAGTAAAGAGTATATGATCTGCTAAAGTGTATAGGATCTGCTAAATACAAACTCCAAAATGTTACACATCTGCTTTATTATCACCAAGAGTATGGTAGTGGTAGCACATTCATCACGACAGTCTTACTGGCTACCTTTATTGGGATCATAGTAACCGTAGCATTCGTTTCTCTGTCATTTTTTTCCTCTTCTCTAGATCCAGTGTAGCATCAAACCCCATGCAATCATCATCCTGCCCAACACAGACGGAATGGAGCTTCTGGTGTGTTATGAAGATGAAGGGGTTTATGTGAATACATATGGAAGGATCACCAAGGATGTAGTTCTACAATGGGGAGAGATGCCAACATCAGTAGGTAGGTATCAGGCAGAGGAAAGACCCCAATCTTGAAACTGGAGCCTTCTCTAAAGTTATGTATCTTTGTCATCTCACCTTTGCATGCTGTTCACATCTTTGGTCATTTAATATAGTGGTTGGCAATAGATGGTAGGTTAGATTGCAAACTCTGATATTAGTTAAATCGATCACATAATCGAGTGAAGTGTGTTATTCACTACGTACTACCTCATTTATTCCTTGAGACATCCATGGGGAGCAGGATAGGCTTTTTTTGTTGACTAATTTGTGGAGAGTAAAGTGAGACAGGCAAAGGTAACATTTGCAAGTGAACAGAGTCGTGACTAGACAGGCATCTCGTGGTTTTACATTTAAATCTCTCACTCTCTTGGTGGTTGTTGCTATTCTTTTGCAGTTAAAGGTACTATCTAGTTTCTTGGGAAGAGATTTCATGAAAATATCTAAGCTTCAGGGAAATGAATAGGTTCTGCCATGAATCCAAATTATCTTTTCTCTGGATAGACCAGGAGATTGCAAATATTTAAAAATAATAAACAAAACCCCAATAAATGCCAGACATTCATTTGTATACCTATATGCTGCTTTTGTATGGCTATTTAACAATATGTGTTTTTCTTCCCCCCCAAAGCATATATTCGGTCTAATCAAACTATGGGCTGGGGAGAGAAAGCCATAGAGATCCGATCTGTGGAAACTGGACACTTGGATGGTGTGTTTATGCACAAAAGGGCTCAAAGACTAAAGTTCTTATGTGAACGTAACGACAAGGTAATGATTTCCTTATAACTTCTTAGTTGCTGCTGTCTTTTAAAGTGATGGCTTGATATCATTGGAATTTGTTGAAACCTCTCCTTGTTGATTTGATGGGTTCTGAAATAAATTGAAGGAACTTTTTAGAAGTCACATTTTATATATGTTTATGGGTACTGTGACATTGATGCTGTGCTGCAATCCCAAAGCACACAGCGGGGTTCACACCCACCAGCTGCTCCATGGGAGAAGGATGGGCGTTCTCCTGTGCGACTGACTCCCTCTGAAAACCTGCGGGAGGGTCAGACGTGAATCTGTTCTGACTTGATGGCACACACCAACATGAGGGAATTGAGGTGCTCGTCTCTGTAAAAATCATCATATATTGGGTTTGAGATGTTTTTAATCTTCATTAAGGCCTTCTTTCTGGTCTGTGTGCTGGAAATAGTGAGCAGATCATTTGTTCCCTCTGTCTTTCTCTTTCTCCTATCATTTGTAGTCAAGTTACTTGGGACTCTTGCTGACCCCATGTAAGTCAGAGCTATGCACTTTGAAGTTTTCAGTGTCTGATTCTTCATAAGAGGGTTGCCAAACCTTCTTGCAAGGTAACTGTGGTTGAACTTGAAACAACAGCTTTTGGTTAACATTGTCAGTGTTGGTGGATGGGATTAGTTTGTGTATAGAAGAAAATGCCCATGCAGTTCGGAGGTAAATGGTTTCTTTCCCTGATATGTATCAGAAAAATGCCACATTAGTCTGATGTTGTTAGGTACTCTTGTGTCAGAACTGACTCATAGCTGACCCTCCAGGAAGTTTTCAGAGGCAGTAAATAGCGTGGGAGTTGATTGCCTGTCTTTTTCCTGTGGAGCAACTGGTAGATTCGAATTATGCGCCTTTGGGTTGGCAGCAAGTTCCTTACCAGTAGGCCACCAGAGCTCCCTAGAATTGTGAAATAGCTTTATAGTTTGCGTATCATAAATATCCAACAATTTATAAATTACACAGAAGTACAGAAGAGTGACAAAGCTCCAGTTAAAACCTTTGCTTTTCAAAACTGGTCACATCCTTGCCTTCTTCCCAGGTTACTCTCATCTTGTGAGTCATTCCTCAAACTAATCCTGGAGTGGAGGTGAGAGATGGCAAAAGTTACTGACCTGTCCTGACCCGCATTGGGAAGGACATCAAAGCCAAAACTGATCATTAACAAGCACACTCTTTCTTTTTTCCAGTTGTTTTTAAAAGACAAACTCAGTTTCTTACCTGATACTGTAGTATAGAAACTTGGCTCTTAAAAAACAGTCCTAAAAAGAAAGAATGTACTGCCTCTTAGCTCACATTGAAATTTTTAACTAGCCTAGCATCTATCCTCTAGGTTAGCTTCTTGGATTAAACATGCAGGTTTATTGTTGCAAGAAAGGGCTAGTTATCCATCTCCCCTTGACAACTAGTATCTCGTGGCTGCCCCAGCCACATATTAAACACAAAGGCTCCCTCTTTCTCTATCACATTTGCATCTTTTTCTACATGTTATTGCTGTTAGGTGTCTCTCAAATCTGTTACCTTGGAAAATGCACATGACCTCAGATATAATTAATATTCCTTGAATGTCAGGTCTTTAAAAGTTTTAACCCAATATGTTGTATCCCTTGAAGTTTAGTAGGAAAAGCATGAGAATAAACTTTGCCGTCTTGACTATAGAGTCAAATGAAGTAATTGTTAATACTTTAACTTAGTTTTTAAAATGAGAGAAAAATGATCATTTTCTTTGGCAAATATGTGTACTGTGTGATTTGTCTGTATGGCCCTTTGGCATGTTGGTTTCCTGTGTGTGCTGTGCACATTCTATGCAAAAATAGTAGAAGTAGTTGAAGAGTCACCCTATTGTTAATTGAATTTTACACATTTTATAGAAATTACTAACAGGAGACGAAAAGAAATAAATTTTTTTCAAAAATACTTTTTCCCCTTCTAAGTTTTTGCAATTTGACATTGTTTCAGTAATTACTGGATTAATAAGCCCTCTTAAAACAAGAATTGACCTTATAGATGGTAAATTGCTACCATCTTAGGTGACATTTTAAGTGTCTTGCATTTGGGAATTTTGAGGGGTCACTTGGCCAAGAAGCCTCAGCAAGCAGTGCTTTGCAGGAATGCATTGTATCACCACGGTAAATAAATGCCCTTCTGTTGTTCCTTTCTCCTTCCCAGGTGTTCTTTGCCTCTGTCCGATCTGGCGGCAGCAGTCAGGTGTATTTCATGACCTTGGGCAGGACTTCTCTTCTGAGCTGGTAGAAGTGATCTGATCTGAAGAGTGCTGGCCTCCGGAGTCTTCAAGATCCCGAGAACTTGGAATTCCTTGCAACTGGAGCACAGACCTGCGTCGGTACAGTCCAGGACAGCTGTGTGTGCGGACCTCCCATGTCGAGTCCTCTCCTCTCCTCCCCGCTCCTCTCTTCCCAGTGGCCTGCCCCATTCTCTTCTCCTTCCTCAAAAATAAATCAAGGCTGCAATGCAGCTGGTGCTGTTCAGCTTCTACCATCAGGTGCTATAAGCGTTTGGGATCGAGCATCAGTCTAGAGAGCAAACACCTTTCCTGCGGCTCCAGAATTCCTTGTCTCTGAATGGCTCTGTCTTAGGGTGTCTGAAGGTGGAAACTATGAACAAGCTGTTGGTTTTATTGGAAGTAGGCACAAGGAGGTGGAAAGTGGTGGTATGAAAAAGCAGTTTGGGGAGCAGAGAGCAGATTTAATATAGTAACATTTAACAATGTATTTAATTGACATTTCTTTTTTGTAATGTGACAATATGTGGACAAAGAAGAAGGTGCAGGTTTAAGAAGTTAATATTTATAAAATGTGAAAGACACAGTTACTAGGATAACTTTTTTTGTGGGTGGGGTTAGGGAGGTGGGATGGGTGGGTTAAAGGGGTCCCCATTTTGTTTCTTGGATTTTCTCCACCTCCCCACCCCCCTTTATTTGGCCTGGCCAAGAACTAGTCATGTTCTGTGTACCAAGTTTTGCCTAAATCATGGCAGATGGTTCTTTTAAAACAATGGGGACGGGGGGAAGAAAAGAAAATTTGTGCATTTTTGTTTAATGGCCAGAACTTTGTTGTGTCACAGTATTAGCACTGCCTCAGTTAAGGTTTAATTTTTGTTTAAACCTAGAAGTGCAACAACAGTTTTACCACAGTCTGCACTTGCAGGAAAAAGAGAAGAAAAAAAAATTCCAAACCACATGTTTATTTTCTTGCCTACCTCATTGTTTTTAATGCATTAAGAGGTGGTTTAGTTTCTTTGTTTTTTGGAGGAAAACAGTTATGTTTAATCTTTAATACCAAAATGATCAGATTGAGGCTTGCCTGTTATTCTGTCACACATGTGAGCAGGCACAAGAAAAATTGTCCATGACCATGGGGAAGGAGCTTTACAGCTTTGTGATGCTGACTAGTGCAGTTTGCTTTCTGAGCCTGGAAAGCAGAGTGCTTCGTTTTTCCCAGATTTTCACTGTTAATCGTTGGTGGGCGATGGCGGCCTACAGCACAGACAACTCCTTGTTCTCTGTTCGAGGTTTGGTAGCAGACAGGTGGTCACATTTAGAATAGTTACACAAACTGTTCAGTGTTGTAGGGACCTTTTCTGGGGGATTGGGTGGGGGGGCGCGGGAGTGTTTCCCTTTTCTAAAAAAATGCAATGCACTAAAACTATTTTAAGAATGTAGTTAATACTGCTTATTCATAAAACAGCAACTTCCTGTGTTTTAGGTATAATATCCAAGCCCTGACTTTGCTCTTTCTCTCACTTGTTCTGTTTTTAAACCGATTTTACTTTATGAAAATGTCCGTGGACATTTGTAATAAATGTCTTGAGTAATAAGTTGTTTAATGGCTTCATGATCATTACTCTTGAGTAGAGTTCATCTTTCGGTAATGTGACAACACAATGTCGTGGTGTCGCTGCCATCTTCCTTTGCCTTTTGTTGAGTTTGGAGTTGGGGGGTGTTGTGTGACAGCTGCTCTAAACTCTCGATCCACCAAACAGAAGTTTGGTTTCTCCTCCGTTTACTCGTCCACCTCTGTGGTTCATTTTCATTTATGATCTGAAGATTTTTCTGATCTTGTTTTTGGCCCACCTATTTGCCAAGACTGTGCCCAGCTTTTTTTTTTTGGCCCATCTGGCTATGCAGTCAGACTGCTATCATGCCTTCATTTCTAGTTAAGTCTTTTTTTCTTTTTTTTT